CTTCAGATAGACGTGCATGAGAAATAGAAATGCTTTAACATGAACCTCAAAAGCAGCACATTGTCACTTGAGATGGCCACTTCTTCGATCATCCTATATTTCGTGTGTAATATTATTAGAAGTTTCCTTTCAAAATAATACAACAAAATTATCACTAAGAATTTATAGTTGATGCAAATGTTAGTATTTTTAAGGAGCATCGAGTTCGATACATTTGTGAGATGTTTATATCTTCAATAAAGACACACTCGAAAGGACTATATAGAATGAATTTCTGGCTTACTTGCTATAGTTATTGATTTTTGTTAGATATGTGTGTGGAATATCTTCAAGTTTTGATTAATCAGACGACTCTTCTTCACAATAATCTCTTATCATCCTTTATAGATATATGCCTGGATTGTGTACAATTCTGCCAAATTTGGTGTTTTGTATGCAGCTGCTCCAACAAGACCTGTAAGTTTGGAATTTTTAAAATGTATTACAATTGAGTTTATGTTATGAATTTTTGTCGAGAATGGTGTGCTTTATGTAAAATTTATTAAAATTGAGTTTCTTTATGTAAAATGTATTATAATTGAGTTTTCGTATGAAATTTTTTGTCGAAGGTGATATGCTTTTAATTCATCGAAACTTAAACTCATTGAATTATCATATTTGTATTTTGGTTAACTAAGAACCATGTTTCATTAGATTTTATCAGATATGGTATATATCAAAATGGAACACTAAAAGAATTGACTTTTGATGCGTAGGAAAAGTCTCAAGTACAATTGTAAAGGAAGAAGCATGACATATAACTGTTTCTACAAAGCTTTTAAAATGACTTCTTCAATAGTTTATGGAAGCTTACTCTTTAGCAGGTTAAGAGTTTACTTGGTCATGTTGATAATTATTGTTCCTCCATATGATGATTGTTCTTTGTGTCTGTCCCCAGTGTTTACGCATTTAATGAGATGATTTACTATGGTACATGTGACAATAAATAATTATCATTTTATGAATTAGTGGTTAAAATGATACTACGATCACCTTTCAATTGAAGTATAAGAATTTCCTGATAAATCTGCATCTTATAAATTTGTATGCAGGTGTGAAATAGTCTTCAACAGTACAAAGGGTGAATACACTTCTATCATCAATGGAAAAATTTACATTTGATGGATAGTTAATTTTCTTTTGTATTATCTATTCATTGCGTTGATACTTAGTAAATAGCGATTGTATGATTAATACGACAAGTTAGCGAGATAATTGCATCCTGAAATGAAAATAAGGCTATGAAAGTATATGCACTCACCCATATTGTTTTTTCTTAAAGTAAACATACATAATTTGTCCATATATCCTCTTTGGCCTTTAGCGTCAAAGTTTGGCAATGTATTCTCTCTTAATGTATGTAAAAATTTGTATTATGTCTTATGCATTTAGGGATTAGTCTTGGCTGGAAAATTTTGAGGATGTTGATAATTTAGGAAGCATGAAGTAATACAACAATCTAACATATATCAACCGTGATTGAGGAAGGCCGATAATGCAAATAAGTTATCCAAAGTTATTGTTATGATATTATGCAACCTTTGACTTTGATGCTTACAGTAATTCATTTGTTGGATTGAAGTTTCCAGCATAACAGTCAAGGCAGAGAAAACTAACGAGTTCATGTAAGTTGGTTTGAAAAGAGTGGTTCAATTGCAACTACTTAGAATCCTATTCAACATGAAGGATGGAGTTCGAAGTGAAATGATATGCTGGTGAATTTGTAATTTTTATTTGTTTTTCTTTCGTATGATAAAATCAAGCTAATTGCATATTGTCCTTCTACTGCACATATTGTAGAGTCCTAAATATTAATTTACTAAAGTATTGTAATCCTAAAGATCGTGACTAATTTTAGTGTACCAAAATATTGTTTAATAAGAAGTGCTTTTAGTTCTTTACTTTAATTCTCACATCTTACAATATAATATTTTTTTCTTTAAAATTATTCGCGCATGGCGTGAGGACATATACTACTACTTATTGAAAAAGGCTTACCAACATAATTAAGGCAATTATTATTTATGAAAAGTAAAAATCTGTGGAATTTGAAGAGCCATTAACAAATTAAGCATAGGCTAATTCAATCAATAAATATGTGAAAGGAAAGTCCAAGGAACATTAATCAAGAAACAACAATATAAAGGCAAGAAATGGTTTCCATTTTCCCCGAGGATGATTCTCGGTTTAGCAGATCCTTTTTAATCTTTCATTTTTGTTGTCTTTATTATTTTTTTCCTTTTTCACCTTAAAGAAAAATTTGCAAAGAAAATTAGAAAATTTTTGAGGGATGGAGAAATATGTAGAATTTTGAATGATGCGCGTCGGAATCAGAATAATGACCAGATTTAACTCCCATCGCCTTCAAACGTCACGAATGATGAAGACCACCATCTCTATTGTGGCGTCAGCGATGATTTGTGAGCTATGAATGAAGAGAGGGGGCTGGTTTTCTAAAAGACTGTAATTAATTTGTTCTTTAAAGTGTGTTATGGTCTCAAGTAGGGCCGTCTAAAGGGAGGGTACTAATTCTTAAAGTTACTGGTACGGGGACGGCAAGCTAAGGGGAGGATTTCTTAAGGGTATTTTTCTTAAGGGGATTTAAGAGTACACTGTAAGGGTATTTTTACTGGTATCCTACCAATACTCCTACTAGTCCGAAGAGTCCGGTATAAGGTTGCGGTACCGATACTTAGGGGTAATAGAAAATTAAAAATAAACAAGATTATATCTAAATATAAACAAACTTTAATTGATGAAAAAAAATTCAATACTTTTATTTCAATACTTATTAAAATAAAATTATAGTTTGCGGAATTTTTCAATAACTTCTATTGGTTCTTCGCTTGAAATTGATAGCACCTGTTCTTCTGCATCCTGCTGTCTCCGCTAGATAGTATTTCACTATAGGCATCTTCGTCTTTTTGAATTATTTCTGGAAGACCATAGTTTCTTCTTTTCCATTATTTCAACAAGTCTTCATTTCCCTCATCATCGCAAACATTATTATTAACAGTTATTCTAGGAAAACGTTGAAAAGCAAGATTATACGTTTCTTGTATGTAACGCCTAAACCCGGACAAATTAGTATTTGTTTCAAAACGAGGACCCCCCTCCTTAACATTATCCTTAGTCAATCTATTACACTTTTTTTTACCAATATAGGAGCCATTTTTAATAATAAATAGTTAAAATTACAACAGAAACACAAGTATAACAAAAATAGATGTGAAAAATTAATATGAGTGCTAGAACGTTAATTGTAATTAGAGATAGAGAGAGATAGACAATTAGAGAGATACGAGTTTTGTGTGAAAATTGAAAGATGAAATGGGGTATTTATAGTTTTAAAATAGGGACAAAGTGTATTTGACCAAGCTTAGAGGTTAAAAAATATATAGTAGGGGGTAGAGGGTGTTAGGAAGGCAAAAATAGTTGTTTTTACCGTTTCCAACGGCTATTATTTTCTAAAAAAAAAAACCTTTGGCTAACAGTGCAAAAACGGTCACAATTAAAATTAAAAAACTTAAGGGTACGGGTACCAGTACCGGTACGGACGGTCCAGTTTCTTAATGGTACTAACTGTATCGGTACTAAGGGTATTTTTTGCGGTGCCCTCCCATTATCTTTACCCTTTATCCAAATCCTTCACCCCTATCCTCAACGGACCGGTACTGTGCGGTACGGGGACGGATAATACCCTCCCCTTAGACAACCCTAATATTCAATTTTTTTTAAATGAAAAGACAACATATATGATTTAACATAATGACTATTTACTGCCAAAAGTATTGTGTTTTTTTTGTACGCTATAAATTTGGGTTTAAACTCAAATACTTTAAAATACGTATATGGTTAAAGTAATAAAATATTATTTTTGCTACATGTTAAATAATGATGAATACTAAGTATAAACGCGCAAAGCACGCGTCCAAAACTAGTAAACCTATTGAAAACACTTAAGACATTTTGTGGGAGCCCTTGTTCATTCCTTCTTCTTTTAAAAATAAAAATAAAATATGAACGTGTTTTCTTCAATAACATATGAAACGAGTTCAAGAATCAAACATTTGTAAGTGTCAAACTTGATTATTTAAGATTCTATTGGTCTATTAGGCCAATTCGAGTTTTGGCAGCATTCTTTAAGATAGGTTTGATCTAGTTAAAGAAATTGGTTTTCAGACTATACGAGTTTTGTTAATGTTCGCCGTGCCTTTGTTGATTTCTGAGTGCTCTCTGATTGTCACAGCAATTAAGTCTTCTCGTTCCTCAAGCTGAGCATCTCCTTTTCTTCAATCAATGTTACGTTGTTGTAGGATGGTGTAAACATTCTTGAATCATCTTATTTCAATTGACTGCTTACTTACCAGGTTTCATTTGACTTCAGCCATTTTTGCTCAGTGATCCAATTCAATACATTCCTGCACAAGATACTTTGGATCAGTCAACATTCTTTTTCTCATAGTACAAAATCTTGCGAGGTTAACAGCCTCAGCGCAACGTACTGTGTACCAATTTTTGTTAGGTTTTCTAGTGATTTGTCAAATGTTGGTCGTAGTATAAGGAGATAATGCATAAGACCCCATTCAACTTGTCCTGGAAAATCATTTACACACCTAAACTTTACGGGTGTCCTAACATCCCATTATTTTTTTTAAAATTGTATTTATTTACTCCCTCCTAAGCCCTGGCCAGCCGCGCGTGTTGGACAACCGAATTGAGCTCGTCCTTACTCTATTTTAATCGTTGAAAACACCCAAAAAAAAGAAATATATTTTTAACGTTAATATAACCCCCAACCAACGGTAAAATCCCCTCTTCCCCAATATTTTACCAAACCCAATTGAAGAACCCTAATTTCTTCTTCTTCTAATTTCTACCGAAATTCCATCAAATTGCCCTTTGAAGTTTTAATCTTTCAAGGCAAAGGTTAATCTTTCTCCTTCTTAATAACTCTAATTTCTTTCTTTTATTATTGTTATGTCTTTCTCCTAAAATCCAGTTATCTGATCTTTGAAAGCAAATGCAAATTATCTGACTTTGATATTGTCTTTTTGTGTTGTAGTTGTTGCAATGCCTTCAAAAGGCTTGAATTTGACAAGTCTTTGCACGGAAGAGGAAGAAAATGAGTCTAGTGGAGAAATTCGATGCAACCATGGCTATGAGCTGCCTTTGTTAACAGCTTGGACCCCTAGGAACCCAGGAAGAAGATATTGGGTTTGTCCATACTATGGGGTAAATGATAGTAAAAATTCCTTGACTAATTGAGTTGTGAAAAATTATCATTCATTAATTTTCTTTTGTTATTCATCTTAGGGTCCACGATCTTGTGATTTTTGGGTTTGGAAGGATTCCGAAATTGATCCTAGGTCCAAATTTGTTATTCCAAAATTGCTTGACAAAATGGGTGAACTTGAGAATGCATTATAAGGCTTTGAAAATCTTGCCAAGCCGAGGACAACTTTAAAGGTTGAAAACACTATAGAAGACGACAAGATGAAGAAGATTGAGGCTCAATTGGTGAAATTGCAAGATGATATGGAGAAGATGAAAGAGAAGAAAAAGAAGTGGAAGAGTAAATTGGCAAAGTCAAAGGCTAGGGAAAATGTACTTTGGTTCATTATATTGAGGATGTGTATTATTCTTGTTGCTTGTGGGTATCCAGGAATCTCATTGAAAGAAGATGCAATGAGGTTGCCATTGTGAATCTAGTTTTGTCATCTCAATATGAATGTAGTTGTTGCTTGTAAGTTTTATTTTGTATGTTTACAATGGACCTTTCATTTGAATGTAAGCCTTTTGTAGTTTTGTCATCTCAATATTTTGTAGATTTCTCATCTCAATATGTATGTAGTTGTTGCTTATCAATTGTTGTTTCTAAAGAAGTGTTGTTTTTACATTGTGAAGTAAACTACATACTCCATAAACTTCAGAACTTGGCAATCAACAATAGACACACAATAGTACTAAGTTTTCTTGTCACCAACCAAAGTATTTCATTTCATGGCCAACACACATACTATCAACCTTGTGATCCCATAACATTTCTGATATGTACAACACATAGATCACCAAAACATTATATATGCATTTGTTGCATACAAGTCACAAAATGAGTTAACAAAACAGCTGTTTGTTGTCATTGTAGCAGCAGCAAAACAGACACCAAATGTAACAAAAAGCAAAATGCAGTCTATAGCTACCTAAAAATCCTTATCAAAATACAGAATTGCAGTCTATAGCTGCATAAAATTTTAGCATAATGCAGTCTATTGCAATACAGTCATCAACAAAATAATATCTTCATCAATTGGGTTGATTTGCAGTGGTGCTTTCCTGGCTCAACTTAGCAGCCCTAGACCTTGTTTGAATGATTTTCTTGCCTCTCAATTGTTGAAGCTGCCTTGATGTCATAGCTTCTTTACCTTTCCATTTAACATCTCATGTTGGTTGATGGCCTAGATCTCCAGTTACTTCTGCCGAGGACCTCACATTCTTAAAGTTTGTGGATGACATTCCAGGCTGCCAAAACCCAACAGAAAATCAGACACTGAATTCACCTAAATATGTGAGTTTGTGTTAGACTTACATTCTGAATTTTGAAGCCACTTTGAGTGTGTAAAACTATCATCCCAACCATCCTTGGTTTCTTATATTGTGTTCTTACATCAGTGCTAGTACCAACATGAGGTGGTATAAAGTTGGGTTTTGTGACTCAGACCACATATTCATACCCAAGACAGGCTGAAGAAAGTAACTGTATGTTGTTGTCACGACCCAAAATCCACTAAGGGTCGTGGCGGCGCCGGACACCTCTGTCAGGCAAGCCCACTAAATCATCAATTAAATCCTCTTTTAATACTTTTGAAAATCTAGAATTTTTCCTTCCATTTTTCATAAATATAAGATCACTAATTGAATTCAAATTTAAATAATAACAATTTGTACAAATCCGTTAAAAACCTTCCCAGAAACCCGGTGTCACAAGTGCATGAGCGACTACTGATAAGTGAAATAAAATACAACATCCGTCCGAAATACAGGGGACAGGGAATAATATACAAATGCTGAAAGGAACTACACTAGCTGCGGTCGCCTCCAATGATGCAGCTCACCTAGTCCCAGAAACATCCGTGCTGCTACGCCCAGTAGGCTGCTAGAGGTATATATACCTGTGCAACCAAAATGCACAGAAGTGTAGTATGAGTACGTAATCAACGTGTACTCAGTGAGTATCCCGCCTAATCCTGAAGGGGTAGAGACGAGATGGCCAACTTCGACACTCACTAGAGGTCAATTAACAATATTCTATAATGCGAGGATAATCATGGATTCATATAGTAGTTCTAATTCACGAAGCCAGGAAAACAGGTAAACACCCTCAACAATTAATCAAGGGCCTCAAGGTTTATCTTTATATCTTTCAATTTATATCAAGCCACGAAGGGCAAGTTTTGCGATTAAAAATCCTCAAGTGACAAATAACATGCGCAAATCACACTGAGGCGACGGCCCGACCAACAGGAATGTAAAATGTGAACTGCCGAGGGTCGAGCGGCACGAACCATAGATGCATCTATTTTCACCGAGGCGTTCGGCCCGTTCCATAAATAAACATATATCCTGCACGCTAATCATCCATGCGACGCAGGCATACATAAAATACATGCTCAAGTAGGGAATTAAGAGTTTACGGGGCTATTTTATCAAATAAAAACCAAATCCTCTTTTAACAATTCAAGAAAACGATGTTTAATCCTTTTGAAATTCATTTACTAGTTCAACTTGATTTTTAACAATTCAAATGTCAATAAGGTTCCAAATATCCCAGGTATAGCATGCTTTGGGTCCTAGACTACCCGGACAATAGCATAATAGTAGCTACGCACGGACTCTCGTCACCTCCTGCGTACGTAGCCCCCACAATTAGGGGCACATAATCAATTTAACTCACCTATGGGGTAGTTTCCCCTTCACAAGATTAGAAAGGAGACTCACCTCGCTCCGAAGACTCATAACCGGCATTCTACATTCTTCCGAAGGCTTGAACCAACGCACAATGCACCAAAACTAGTCAATTAACGACAAATTAATGAGAACATGCTCAAATACTTGTTAAAAATTCAGATTATACAAATTCCCAACTTCGCTTAGTGAAATTACCAAAATTCCCTCGGGTCCACGTGCCCGGAAATTATAATTTTTCGAAGATAAAGGTTACCCATGACCTTAGGAACTCACCTACATAATTTTCTCTTAATTTCATATTCAAAATCGTGGCTAAAATCCAAGATTATAACTTTCTAGGTTTTCAACCAAAACCCCAATATTTNCTGCGGGTCGCCTCGCAAACTGCAACTCACCTAGTCCCAGAATTATCCATGCTGCTACGCCCAGTAGGCTGCTAGAAGTGTACATGTACCTGTGCAACAAAAATGCACAGAAGTGTAGTATGAGTACGTAATCAACGTGTACTCAGTGAGTATCCTGCCTAATCCCGAAGGGGTAGAGACGAGATGGCCAACTTCGACACTCACTAGAGGTCAATTAACAATATTCTATAAGTGCGAGGAAAAATCATGGGTTTATACAGAAGTTCTAATTGTGAAGCCAGAAAACAGGTAAACACCTTCAACAATAAATCAAGGGCTTCAAAGTCTATTCTTTATTATCTTATCAGTTTATATCAAGCCACATAGGGCCAATTCCACATTTACGATTCTTCAAGTAACAGATAAACATGCGCAAATCACACCGAGGCGACGGCCCGCTCCAACAGGAATGTAAACTGTGCACTGCCGAGGGTCGAGCGGCACGAACCATAGATGTATCTATTTTCACTGAGGCGTTCGGCCCGTTCCATAAATAAATACATATCCTGCTCGCGAATCATCCATGCGACGCAGGCACACATAAAATACATGCTCAAGTAGGAAATTAAGAGCTCATCGAGGATAATCATCCAAATAAACAACTTTCTCTTTTTAAATTCCTTTACCAATTCATGGTGATTTAAACAATTCAAACTATCAATGGGTTCACAGTAATCCAAGTATAACATACTGTTCGAGTCCTAGACTACCCGGACAATAGCATAATAGTAGCTACGCACGGACTCTCGTCACCTCGTGCGTACGTAGCCCCCACAAATAGGAGCACATAACCAGTTTACTCACCTATGGGGTAAATTCCCCCTCACAAGATTAGAAAGGAGACTCACCTCGCTCCGAAGACTCATAACCGGCATTCTACATTCTTCCGAAGGCTTGAACCAACGCACAATGCACCAAAACTAGTCAATTAACGACAAATTAACGAGAGCATGCTCAAATACTTGTTAAAAATTCAGATTATACAAATTCCCAACTTCGTTTAGTGAAATGACCAAAATGCCCTGGGCCCACGTGCCCGGAATCCATAATTTTTTCGAAGATAAAGGTTACCCATGACCTTAGGAACTCAAGTACATAATTTTCTCTTAATTCCATACTCAAAATCGTGGCTAAAATCCAAGATTATAACTTTCTAGGTTTTCAACCAAAACCCCAATATTTACTCTAATTTCCATGCTTAAATCCATATATAATTGATATATTTAACTCAAAAGTGATAGGGATAACTTACCTTAATCATTGACGACAAAATCCTCTCTTGAAGCTCCCCAAAAATCGCCCAAGCCATGAAGAAATGGGAGAAATGGACTCAATCCCACGATTTAAAACAAGCTTCTGCTCCCAGCTATTTCCGCTAGTTCCGCTTCTGCGGATGTCGCTTCTGCGACTTTTTCGCCGCTTCTGCGGCTTTGGGCATAAGGGCATTGACCGCTTCTGCGGTCCCTGGGCCGCTTCTGCGGTTTCCTGGGCCTGACCCCCTTTCCGCTTCTGCGAGCTTCGGACCACATCTGCAGTCCCGCTTCTGCGGTCCAAGAACCGCAGATGCGGTTATGACAGAAGCAGCACACTCAAGCCTTCCAAATTCCAATTTCGATCCATTAACCACCCGGAATCCACTCGGGGCCCCCGGGACCCCAACCAATCATACAAACCAATCCCAAAACACATTACGGACTTGCTCGAGGCCTCAAACCACATCAAACAACGCTAAAACCATGAATTACACCCCGATTCAAGCTTTATGAACTTTGAACTTTCCAACTTCTATTTCCGATGTTTAAACCTATCAAATCATGTCCGATTGACTTCAAATTATTCATACAAGTCATATTTGACATTACGGACCTACTCCAACTTTCGGAATTGGATTCCGACCCCGATATCAAAAAGTCAACTTCCGGTCAAACTTCCCAAAACCTTCAAATTTCTATCTTTAGCCAAATGGCTTCAAAATGATCTACGGACCTCCGAATTCACTTCCGGTCGCGCTCCCAACTCCAGAATCACCATACGGAGCTACTCCCAGTCTCGTAATTCCAAACGGACAATGATAACACCGAAATTCACTTCAAGCCAAACTTATGAAATTCCTTCAAAAATGCTAACTTCCACAATAGGCGCCAAAACGCTCCCGGGTTATCCAAAACCCAATCCGGGCATACGCCCAAATCCGAAATCACCATACGAACCTGCTGGAACATTCAGATCTCGATTCCGAGGTCGTTTACTCAAAGTTCCAATCCTAGTTCATTCTTTCAACTTTAAGCTTCCGAAATGAGAATTCTCTTCCCAAATCAACTCCAAACTTCCCGAAATTAAATTCCGACCACGCGTACAAGTCATAATACCTTAAATGAAGTTGTTCATGGCCTCCGACTGCTGAACGGAGCGCTAGTACTCAAAACGACCGGTCGGGTCGTTACATTCTCTCCCACTTAAACATACGTTCGTCCTCGAACGTGCTGAGAA